GGCAGACGACAGAAACTGGTGGGAGCCGGACCACACGCGTGTGCCAAATGGCATGAACGCTGCGAGGCGCCTGCTGCGCAAGCGCGGTCCGGCTGACTACTGCTGCTCAAAACTCCAATCTGCGGCACCGGGACGAATCAGCACCAACAGTGGAGCACCCACGGGGACACACATCTTGAACCATTGTTACTGCACCAAGGTGAGTAACTTCCTCTTATAGAGTGAAAGATTGAAAGCTTAAAACTATCCTGTTGGACAAAATAGGGGACACTGCTAGCTAAATTAACTCTTCGGTGTCCCTTAAAGTATAATAATAAATATAAACAACATGGCTGCGTCTAGACTGGCATGATTTTGCGCAAATACTTTTAATGGAAAAGTTTTTCCTTTAAAAGTTTTTGCGCAAGAGAGCGTCTACACTGGCACGGATGCTTTTGCGTAAAAGCACATCTTTTGCACAAAAGCATCCGTGCCAGTGTAGATGCTCTCTTGCTCAAGAAAGCTCCGATGGCCATTTTAGCCATCAGGCTTTCTTGCGCAAGATACACTGGCCTCTTGCGCAAGAATACTTGCACAAGAGGTCTTATCCCTGAGCGGGAGCATCAGAGTACAGTACAAGGTCAGTGTTTGTACAGTACAAGGTCAGTGTTCTTGCGCAAATACTCATGGCCAGGTTAGACAGGCAGCAAGATTTTGCGCAAAAGCAGTCGCTTTTGTGCAAAATCTTGCCAGTCTAGACGCAGCCCAAGTGTTAGCATGTCCCACCAGCTTTACTACAGGAACGAAGTTCAGGGAGACTCCATCTGTCACCACCAATATGTTCAAAGCAGTAAGTGTTATCTGGAAAGGATAATCATTAGAACTGTCAATTGACCTGCGTTAACACCTGCGATTAACGCAGGACAGGATTAACGCATTAATTTTTTTAACGCGTTAATCACAGGTGTTAATGCTCTGCTGCCCCTTTGAAATGCTGCTCCGGCGCTTCAAAGCAGCAGCGCAAGTGGAGCTGGGCCCCTTAAGGCGCTGCCCCTTGGAAACACTGCCACGCCGCTTCCAAGGGGCAGTGCTGCATGGAGCCCGGGGTCAGCTGAGGACTCCAGCTGATCCCGGGCTCCATGCAGCGCATTTCAAAGGGGAGGCGTGCATGATTAATCGCGATTAAATTTTTTAATCGCTTGACAACCCAAATAATCATGAACTCTCAGCCTCCCTTCTGGAACTCATCAGAACTCCTGCGTAGTTGTCTGAACTGTTGCTTCTGAACAGTTTATAATGAGGGTCTAGTGTTTTAACAGCACTCACACCCTTTGACCCTACAACACCAGATCTGGATGGAAAATTTGAAATGGGAACGTCCATATGGCAGTAGAGAATAATACCACCAGTAAGGCCGTTGTCTACCTCTTAATGTTCTTAAGAAATCTTTCTCTCTGTCTGTTACTACTTAAGTTGTAATTTTTGGGGGAATGTTCTGAAAAACTCTTAAATTTGTGTACTTGTTTCCTACTCTTGTAGGATAAATCACAGTCTGCAGAAATATGGGAGAAATTAAATTTTGGAAACAAGGACCAAAATGTCAAATTCAGAAAACTAATGGGTATCAAGGGGGGGGGGGGGGGTTCTTTTTGTATTTAGGTCTATAATTTATTCATTTTTGGATAATCTTCATCTTTCTTCCTTGAAATAGTGTCTTATGTCTAATACCCATTTAAATTGCTTAAAAATAGTTGAAATCACATTTTTGGGTGTTCTAAAATGTAAAGACTTGAATTAATTTTAAGACGCTGTTTGTGAATTTAAATCAGAAATACTTCCCAATTCAAGTAGATGTTCTTGAACTCGCTTTGTGGTGACTGACTACGTTTTCTGTCAGGACCTGGAACAGAAACTCTCTATTTACAAGCTAGTTACAGGGGTTGGCAACCTTTTCAAACCAAAGAGCCAAACTACATCAAAACTCAGAACAAGTGTTCAACAAAAAACTTACCTCCCTGGGCAATTTATTCCAGTGTTTAAACCACCCTGACAGGAAGTTTTTCCTATTGTCCAGCCTAAACCTCCCTTGCTGCAACTTAAGCACATTGCTTCTTGCCCAATCAGAAATCAAGGAGAACAATTTTTCTCCCTCCTCCTTGTAACACCCTTTTAGATACTTGAAAACTGTTATCATGTCCCCTCTGTCTTCTTTTCTAAATTAAACAAACCAAATTCTTTCAGTCTTCCCTCACAGGTCATGTTTTCTAGACCCTTAATCAGTTTTGTTGCTCTTCTATGGACCTTCTCCATGTGGTGAGAAGGTCCATAGAATGTGGTGCCCAGAGCTGCATACAATACTCCATGAGGCCTAATTAATGCAGAGTAGAGTGGAAGAATAAGAACGGCCATACTGAGTGAGACCAAAGATCCCATCTAGCCCACTATCCTGTCTGCCAACAGTGGCCAATATCAGATGCCCCAGAGAGAGGGAACACAACAGGTAATCCTCACATGATCCCTCCTCTGTCACCCACCACCAGAGAAACAGAGGCTAGGGATACCATTCCTACCCATCCTGGCTAATAGTCCTAACCTCCATGAATCTATCTAGCTCTATCATGTCTTGTTCACAACACTCCTCTTAATGCATCCCAGAATCATGGTGGGTTTTTTGTTGTTGTTTTTTGGGGGGGAGTTTGGGTTGTTGGGTTTTTTTTGTAAGAGTCACACTGCTGACTCATATATAGCTTGTGGTCCACTATGATCCCTAGATCCCTTTCTGCAGGAGAAAATACCAGACATATAACATGTCTGGTATTTTCTCACTAGGTAAGTTGTATTATTACTAGATGTATCAGTTCGTAGTTTCGAACTGCCTGGCTGGTAAATGTGCTCAGGCTGCATGAGTGTGTCTACCAGCCAGACAGTTCGCAACTACTTGAGGGAGGGTGTGGGGGGAACAATAGAATCCCCGGGTCGGACTAACGTGTGTTTTGTGGGGGGGAGGAGGGAAGGGGAGCAGCACCCTGAGATCTACATATGGCCGGGCCAGTCCCACTCCCCGCAGGCTGATTCATTCCTCCCCCCTACCCCCCTTGCTGCCCCTCTGGCCAGCCCCACTTCCCCCAACCCCCTCCCGGGCAGCCAGTTCTCCCCCGCTTCTCCTCCCAATCTCCCTTGGCCAGCCCTGCTGCCTGCGTCCAGCCCTCCTTCTGACGGCCATTGCTCCCACATCTTCCCCTGCCAGGTATCAGTCACCGTTCTTGAGGTGTGTCCTTGGCCTATAGAGGGCTATTGTTCCTGAGCTTTGCTCATTAGCATGTCCATGGGCAAACATTCCTGGCCCATTACTCAACCCCATACAGAGAAACTTCCAGTCTCCATACAGAATACCTATTCATAACTCCACACACAGACATTTACACAGATATATGAAGAGCATATACAGGATCAGTAGAAAGTAAGCTTTAGTTAGACACCTCACATGGCCCCCTTTGTACCACTTTTGGGGCGAACACCCCCCCATGGGTGCAGCAGTGACCCAGCTGTTACCACGTGGCATGCACCGTGTAAGATGCCTCCCACTATTCCCATTCCCCGGAAGCCTCTGGGAAGGGTTGGCAGCAGAGGGCTGCAGGAAGTGTGTCCCGAGGGAAGGAAATGTCAGTACACAGGGAGCCATCTTTGGTTCCCAGTTCCCCCCCACGCTGGGGGGAGTGAAAACATTGGCATGCCGAGCCATGTTCAGCTTGTTTCCCACATACCGGATCTGGTAGGGAGGGGTTTTTCTCCCCCCGCCCCTCCCCGCAGTAAGCTGTGCTGGCGTTTGAGTCTTGCAGGGGCCATAAGGTTGTAGCACCAATGCGGGGGAGCAAGGGGAGCTGGGGGGTCTGATCTGGGACTCCAGAAGAGCCATATCTGGCTCCCTAGAGAGCCATAGGTTGCTGATCCCTGGGCTAGTAGTTAGTTACACAGGGTTATTAAATATATTATTTTGTAATTGCAGAAATGCATTTGAATTAATTTAATCTGGATTATTACTCCTTTGTAGTAATAAAAAATCAATTTAGAAATAAAGGAAGAAACATTTTTATTATTTGGGAGTGAAGTGATGATCAGACTAGTAAATTAGGGGAAAAAATCAATTAAGTTCTTATGAGATTTTACTTCCAACTTTAAATTGTTCTATCTTATTGTTAAATATCCAAATGTTGATTTCAGTCTAGCTTTTTTAAAATCTGAGCAAATGTTTAATTCAGTATTAATTTTTCATAGGTCAGGGGAAATTAATCATTTTGCTAAGTGTTATTACACTTGAATGCACTCTCTATTGTAGGGGTGTTCACATGTAATCGTTTAAACAATTACCCGATAAGCCTGGGCTTGTTGGGTAATCTTTACTACTACTACCCCCCCACCCCCCGCAACCTTGCTGCCTTTGTATCAGGCAGCAGGGTCAGGGGGAGGCAGGAGCAGAGGTGGGAGCTGGTGCCTGTGGGGAGCTGGCTTTCAAGCTGGCTCGTTGTGCGTGCTGGTTCCTGCAGAGCTGCCCCACTGTCTCTTTGCAGAGGCAGGGGGGGCTTTTTGAGAGCACTGGCTCCCATTCCCCCCGCCCCGGTGTAAACATGTAACCGCTTGAAATTTTAGCGGTTACACATTTACACACAAACACATTAGTTAACATCCCTATTCTATAGCTCATATTATTATCGTTGTCAGCTGTTACAAACAGCCACGTGAAAGGTCTTGTGTGAAGCTTTAAAACATTATTGCTTTGACTGTGCAATAAATAATTTAATCTTTTTCTATAAATCGCTTGTCTGATTTCTAGAGTGAGGATGAAGCTGGTTGTAGTTCAGTTGATGAAGAAAGTTACAAAACTCTGAAGCAACAGGAAGAAGTATTCAGAAATCTAGATGCACAATATGAGATGGCACGATCACAGACTCACACACAAAGAGGAATGGGACTGGGGTTTACATCTTCAATGCGAGGAATGGATGCAATTTGAAAAAGAACATAAGTCTGGGACTTTGTGGATGATTTCTGTTCTGAGGTTGGGTCCTTGTTCACCAAAAAGCTAGTATTCTAGCTTGCATGGGTGTTGCATTGACTTTAATGTATTGAAAAAGTACAATTTTTCTGTAAATATGAGATCAGTGATGCTGGTGTTAGTGTTGTAATCAGGTACCCGCTTCCATTAAACGTGATAGAACTATAGGAGAACAATATTTTTTAGTTACAATTCTACTTTTTCAAACAAAGCAGCAGCTGAGGTAAACTCATAAATGGCTATTTTGTGTCTGTTATCTTGTGTACTTTAACCTTGTACAGTTATTTTCAACTCGTGAAACATGAAAGAAACCATGTCTAGATGTTATCTAGCAGATTGGGCCAATTGGTGCATAATCCAGTGCAAAAACCTGGTTAATAAACATGTTTTTTCTCTTAATCTTGAATTGCCAGCTATTACTTTTACCATAGGGAGCTCTGTAGTGGAATAAGAAAAAAGGTAAATGTCAGGGGCTGGGGTATTCAAATAACAGTATCAAGTCAAGAACTGAACATTTGTTTTTTTTTAACTTGGCAGTTTCTGCTTAACTGTTACTATGGTGTACATAATCTGTCTCAATCTATTAGCAGGTCTTAAAAACCCTGCACCTACTAAGCATAGGGTTAACCCACTTAATGTGGGTGAAATACACCCACTGCCCTGAACTTCTACTCCTTCCTTACCCAAATCCCCCTAGTCTCTTGTTGGCTAGGTGCTCACCGCTGCTTGGATTTAAAGATACTACCACTAGATAAAACTCGTACCCTAATTAATTTCACCCTTACACAATTTTTTTTTAAATCAGTGCTGGAACAGCACCCCATCTAATGAATTCAAGTTATGCTGGACCTACAAGCAGAGCTGTACACTTGGTGGCAAAGAGGCATAAGTTTCCCTCTTTCTTATGGGCCAAAACAGGGACCAATAAGCTAAGGAACAGGAAGACCTTGATCAGCTGAAGGATGAGGAACTACAGGCTTTCTGTCTTCTGCCCCCTATCAGAGGGATATGACACAAGACTCTCTTCTACCATCTCACAGGGGAGTGGAATGGAGAAATGCAGAACCCTGCTGCCACAACCCCACTCAAGCCTTTTGCAGAAATCATGAGCTCACACATTGCCATGTCAGTTTGTTGTTTCTATAAATTAATAAGTTGTACTTGGTATTTCCAGTCCCCCTATGTTTTTGTGATTCCCTCTAGGTGGCTAATTATAGGGTCCGCAGCGCAATACCAATCCAATGCCACCCTAGGAACTACATGTGCACATGCTTGAACATCACAGAGTAAGTTGAGGGTCTCCCCTACCCACAATGCTATGTGTATTTCCACTATTCGATTTGGTGCCACTTAGACTTGCTCCATCTTTGGAGTTTCCCTTCTATATTTCTTATTTGGTATGTATGCCTGTTCAGGAGGTGTTTGGAGGTATTACTGGAACCTGTCTCTAAAAATCACAGTAAAAACAATAGACCAATCACAATTACGAACATTGTCAACCATCCAACAGCAAACATAAGTTAGTTTTTACAATTCGTCATCTGCTCTCATCAATTTTTTGGACAGGAATTTCATGAACTTGGCTCATATTTGCAACTATACACCCCCAGGCCATCTTAAGATCAGGTGGTGTGGCTCTGTGGATATTGTTGGCTTGTTGCCTTCCTTCTGCTTCACACACCAACTTTAAAACAGTCCCAACTGGATGGGTTTGGTTTGCTGCCTGTATCATAGTGGCAGTCCGTAGGGTCTCAGTCCATAAATTCCAGACCGCTTCATAGGTCTGGTTAATCTGGGTGGTATCAGAGAGTCCCTCTGTGTGGTGGATCATCCACACTGCATTCAACAGCATCCATATCCATGCTGGTATCCGACCCTGTGAAAATAAAAAAAAAAACAAACACTTCTCTCTCAAAAATATGTAGATAAATACAAACTTTGTTTTTTTTTTTTAAATGTTTAATCATAGTACATAATGTGTTTCCGGGCTTCCCTGATCTACATTTAGGTCTCGTCTTGAAAGAGGAATGCAAATGAAAGATTGAAAATTCAAATGAAGCATGGATTTATAAATCTTGCACTTCCATTTGCATAATCGTCTGAGCACTTTCAAAAAAGGGTTTTTCAGGAAAAAACCCGTGGTCTAGATGGGGTTCTTTCTGGGGGGGACCCCTTTTTCAAAAGAACCCGTGCTCCTGAAAAAGAGGCATATGGATTCTTTAGAAAAAGGTTTTTTTCCCCGAAAGAACCCCATCTAGACTACAGGGTTTGTTTTTCGAAAAACACTTTCAAAAACGCACTTGGATGTGATTATTCAAATGAAGCGCAGATTTATAAATCTTGCACTTCATTTGCATTTTCGATGTGCTTCATTTGTATTCCTCTTTCAGGAGAGGAATGCAGTCTAGACGAGCCCTATGTTTCTCTGCCTTTTGCGATTTTTTTTGGGTCCATAATCATCCAGAGTGTCCAGAATGTAATCCCAATTTAGGAGTCCTAGAATTTCCTGATCACTCAGGCTACGTCTACACTGCAGGGTTTTTGCGCAAGAAGTCTTTTGTGGACGAGTTCTTGCGCAAGAGTGTGTCCACGCTGCATGGACATTCTTGCACAAGAAACCCCTGCAGAGCATCCACACATGCCTTTTTGTGCAAGAGCTGTAGCGCAAAAAGGAGTTCTGCCTTGTAGAAGGAGGTTTACCTACACCAGAAAAAGCCCTCTCCTGTCGATTGACTGTAGATTTTCTTGCGCAGAAACACGCTTGAGGTGTGGACGCTCTGCAGGTTTTTGCGCAAAACTGTTTTTGTGCAGAAACCTTGTAGAGTAGACGTAGCCTCAGTGGGTTCAGGGACAGGAAACGAGCATTCAAGGTGCTTTGCAAAACAGGTGTTTTGTTCCTCCATTCGAGTCCTGGTCCCAGCAACCAAAGAGATGGTGCTCCCACTTTCTCCATTTTCCAGATTGAGGTGTTTTTATCATTCCACCAGATAGTAATCACATTGCCAATACCCCATTCAATTCGTCCCTGTGCCCTCAACTGAGTCACGGGAAAAGGTCGGCACACCTCAAATCTTTTTCACTGGCTCCAAGCAACATGAAGTAACACTTGGGGTGCATAGGCAGCTTGGAGGTTTTAAGTTGCTTCTGTTATTCATTTGGGATAATTCCATTGTGCTTACCTTGACTGCTTATCTTGTATCGTTACTCTGTAAAAAAAGCACAAAACATGTAATATACAGTTTAACAAGGCATGGCATGTGTCATGGCTCCTTCCCCACTCTGGCATGATAAATGCAGAAGTGGGGGCCAGCAAGTGTACCCTAAAGCCTTATCTACCAGGCTTTGGTATAAAACTTCCCCCAAGATCTTAAAAACCTAGATCTTGGGAATAAAACTTCCGCTGCCACCACCCAAATGTTGCTAAAGAAACCAGGGGAAAGATCATTTGGGAAATCTTCCCCCTAAAACAAAAATCAGGGCACACCATTAACCACTGCCAGGTTAATAAAAGAAAAGAAAGAACTTTTATTATTACAACAATATTCTGGTTGCAAGTATAATGACTAGAGAGGAAGGTAACAAAATATACTCATGGAGAAACTCCATGGGCCTAGAACTTAGTTACAAAGAAAAGCCAAAACATCTTTTAAGCAGTGCCAGACATCAGATCCCATACCCAATTACAACAATATTCTGGTTGCAAGTATAATGACTGGAGAGGGAGGTAACAAAATATACTCATGGAGAAACTCCATGGGCCTAGAACTTAGTTACAAAGAAAAGCCAAAACATCTTTTAAGCAGTGCCAGATCTCAGATCCCATACCCAATCCTTAAAACAATAAAACCTAACGAGACTACCTAAACTTTACCCTACTTACAGAAAATGAAGAATGGTGTCTTGGCTGCAGAGAGCTCTCAGAGAGACAAAAGGACAAAGGAAAAACCCAAATTCCTTTGTCCCAGTTTGAAAAATCCCACCTACATTCTTATTGGTCACTCCACCTGGCTAGGTGTAGTTAACCCCTTAATCCCCAGGCTGCTGGCTAACCCTCATAATCATGACATGAGTCAACAGTGTGATGCTGTTGCAAAAAAAGCAAATATGATTCTAGGTTGTATCAACAGGTGTGTTGTAAGCAAAACTCATGAAGTCATTCTGCCGCTCTACTCTGCACTAGTTAGGCCTCAGCTGGAGTACTCTGTCCAGTTCTGGGCACCACATTTCAAGAAAGATGTGGAGAAATTGGAAAGGGTACAGAGAAGAGCGACAAGAATGATTAAAGGTTTAGAGAACATGACCTATGAAGCCAGGCTTCATGAACTGGGCTTGTTTAGTTTGGAAAAAAGAAGATTAAGGGGGGACATGATAGCGGTTTTCAAATATCTAAAAGGGTGTCACAAGGAGGAAGGAGAAAATGTGTTCCTCTTGGTTTCTGAGGACAGGACAAGGAGTAATGGGCTTAAAGGGCAGCAGGGGAGGTTTAGATTGGACATTAGGAAAAAATTCCTAACTGTCAGAGTGGTCAAACATTGGAATAAATTGCTAAGAGAGGTGGTGGAATCTCCCTCTCTGGAGATATTTAAGAACAGGTTAGATAGACATCTGTCACGGATGGTGTAGACGGAGCTTGGTCCTGCCTTGAGGGCGGGGGGCTGGACTTGATGACCTCTCGAGGTCCCTTCCAGTCCTATGATTCTATGAACTTCAGGAGAACTAGCAGGAACAGAACTCCAATCTGTACTTGACTTTCACTGACCTGAGAAAATAATTTGATAGTCAGAAGGATCTCTGGAAGATCATGGTAATATTTGAGTGCCCAGAAAAATTCATAGCAACGGTTCACCAATTTTATGATGGAATGCTCACTTGCATCGCAAACAAAAATAAGTCATATGAACTAGTAAAGCTGTGTGGTGGCCCCAGCTCTTTTCAATATAATCTTCTTGAGCATGCTTCCAGATGCATTTTGTGATTATGACACCAGAATTGGCATCATATACGTGACTCATGACTAGCTCTTCAATTTGAGGAGACTACAGGCAAAGATGAAGGTACAGGAAGTGACTGTTTGTGATCTTCTATTTGGGGTGACTGATCCCTGAATGCCAAATCTGAGTCGGACCTGCAGCGGAGTATGAGCTTCTTTTTCTCTGGGGCAACTTTGGTCTCACAATCAACATTAAGACAACAGAAGTGATGTACAAGCCTGCACCTGAAAAGCCTTACGCAGAGCCTATCATCACAGTGAATGGCCATACGCTCCAGGTAGTAGACTAGTTCAGCTACCTCAACAGTACACAGTCACATGCAGTTCACAATAATGATAAAACCAATGCCAAAATTGCCAAACCAAATGTGGCCTTTAGCAGCCTATATGCAATTGTGTGGAAGAATTCAGACAATAGTCAACACACAAATCTGAAAGTCCATAAAGCCAACTCTGATGTTGGTACTAGAAACCTGGGTGGTATGCAGACACCATGTTATGCAACTAAATCACTTTCAAATGGGCAGTCTGAGGAAACTGATAAGGAGTTAATGGCATGTCAAGATTCCAGAGGTGAGGTCTACATTGCACACCTTGAGGCATAGCTGTGCCATTGCCACCATACCATTATAAGATGCACAGTGTAACTGATCTTTGTCACTAGAAGGGAGCCCTCCTGCAACTAACTAAAACCATTCCCAACAAGGGTGGTATCTTCACCAACAGAAGAATGGCACCTGCTGATCAAGTGCTGTCCATACTGGCACTTACCATTAAAACTTTTGTCAATGGGGAGGGTGTTTTTTCACACCCCTGGGCAATAAAAGTTTTAATGACAAAAGCGTCAGTATAGACAAAGCCAGATACCAAGGTTTTCATACATGGAGGTATTTCAAGCATGTATACTCTGTTGACGAAATCATACAGGGTATGTCTAGACTACAGGGTTTTGTCGACAGAAGTTTTGTTGAGAGATACTGTCAACAAAGCTTCTGTCGACAAAGAGCGTCTAGATGACATCCAGTTCTGTTGACAAAGCAAGCCCCTTTGCCGACATAACAGCGTGGACGCAAAGGACGGTGTAGATACAATAATGCCTTCTATCGACATAACTCTGTCGACAAAAGGCGTTATTCCTCGTAGAATGAGGTTTACAGCCGTCGACAAAACTGCTGAGTTTTGTCGACGTTATGTCGACATAACTCAAAGACAGTGTGGACACAGGTATAGTTTTGTCGACAAAAGTCCACTTTTGTCAACAAAACCCTGTAGTCTAGACACACCCACAGAGATGGGCAGGCCATGTTACCAGAATGTCAGACAAGTCAAGAGCAAAGGAGTTCTTTTATGATGAGCTAATGGAGGGAAAGTGTTCTCAGAGAGGCCGGAAGAATTGTTTCAAAAACTCCCTCAACTTATCCTTGAGACATTTCATCACTGACTCATTGAAGATCTTGCTCATGATTGTTCTGT